TGCCAACTTTCTGGATCACTACCTGGATGTGCCCGTGGACCTGTCCAAGGTGTGTGTCCCACCGGGGAGGTGGGCCCAGTGGGGGGAGAGGCAGGGTGGCCAGTCCTCCGGTACCTCCCTGCCGCCCTCCCCAGGTGCTGTTCATCTGCACGGCCAATGTCACCGAGACCATCCCGGAGCCACTGAGGGACCGGATGGAGATGATCAACGTGTCTGGCTACGTGGCCCAGGAGAAGCTCGCCATCGCAGAGGTGAGGGCAGGACCCTCACCGCAGCTCTAAACAGCGGGGGTGCCCCCCTGCAGCTGGGGCTGGGGGCATAACTGAGCACCGAGTGCCAGGCCCCTAACCAGAGCTGCGGGGAACAGTCCGCAGCGGCCCTGCTCGGAGCGGGGGCGGCTGGGGTCTGCCCACTCATGTCGTGTGCGTGTCGCCAAGAGCAGAGGCGAGGCCCGCCGTGAGCCGTGTAACCGCTAATGTGTGACCCCAGCCCGGGCACTTCCCCAGCCCACCCACTTCTCCAGCTTAGTTCCGCTCCTGCCTGGGGTTCACGTCAGACTCCCGCAGGCTGAGGGCCCAGGCCTCCGGGATGTTCCTGCTTCGGATGCCAGTTGCACATTCCGGGGCTCGCTTTCCTCCTCCCAACTGGCTATAAATTGGGCATTCCCACACCTCTTCTTTGGGTTTGCCGGGTTGCTGTAACAGCTCACTGAGCTCAGAACGGTTTACTTCCTTGCAAGTTTATTATAGAGGGTACAACCAGCGAGCGGCCGGAGCGGCTGCCTCAAGCCCAGCAGGGACGGGGACTTCTGCAGGTAGCCGGCGCTCCCCTGGGGATTGTGTGCTTGGCCCTGATAGCCCCCTCCGCCGTCAGCGCACTGCTCCCCGGCCCGCAGCACACCTCTCCTCGGGCCGGCACCCCTGCTGCCCGTCCTCCCACCAGCCGTGCGTCCTCGAGTTCTGTGATAGAACGTGTGTCCTTGGCCGAGGCTCACCTGGGATTCAGGTCTCCGCATTTCCTGGCCGTTACTGGTCTCCCCAGTGCGGGGGCTGGATTCGTACCCTGAAGAATGTTAAGTAGAGCAGAGAGCCGGATTTCCTTCCAGAGCAAAGGGAAGGTGTTTCCGACCCAGTGTTTCTTGCTGGAAAGAGGTTGTGCGTGTTTCTCCCTGAGCTCGTCACAGCCTGCAGGTGCTGGGCCCCAGCCCTGGGGGCCTGACAGCAGCCTCCTGTCCCCTGGGGTGGGAGGGGAGCCAGAGGAGCTCTTGGCTGAGGTAGTTACAGGGGTCCTGGGGCCTCCCAACCCGGCCAAGGAGGGGCAGGCTTGGGGACCTGGGCCAGGGACTGCCTTTCAACCTTTAAAGGGATGATAAGAGAACATGGACTCCCCAGAGGCCTCGGGGCCAACCCATGTCAGTCAACAAGTGTCCTGACGTGTGTGGTTGTGTCCCCATGTCTCAGCTGCTTTCTGCTCCCCACTTGGTGCTCAGGCTTGTGTGTCCCAGGACTGCCGTGTGGCAGGAGTCGGGCTGGGCTGTGGGGGACCTTGGGGCCTCTTGGCCTCCACATTCCTGTCCGCTCGGGGTGGCAGCTGCTCAGTGTGAGCGGGGGCAGCCCAGGGACCAGGGGAGACCTTCCTGGAGGAGTGGCATCTCAGCTGACATTTGGAGGAAGGGCAGGAAGGGAGCCTGGGCAGAGGATGTGGCAGGAGCAGGGGCCTGGGAGCTTCTGGAGGCGGCGGGCTGGGCATCTGCGGGCTCACTGGGGGGTCCTGGCACCCGCCGTGCGCTCTGCCCGGACTCCCTGCCGCCTCACCTTGCTGGCTCCTCACCCTCGGGTCACCGCTTCGGTGTCATCTCCTGGGGCAGCCTTCCACGAGCTCCCCCTGCCTCCCCCCACCCCCCCCCGGGATGAGAGCTTGTACAGGCTGGTGCTGGGTCCGCCTCCATCATCTCTAGTCAGCCAGGGGTCTTGGGAAGGTTCGGTGGTAAGTGGGGGCCACAAGAGAGGCGCCAGTTCTTGACCCTGAGGCCCCTCCCTGCCAGCGGTACCTGGTGCCTCAGGCCCGTGCCCTGTGTGGCCTGGATGAGAACAAGGCCAGGTTGTCATCAGACGTGCTGACCGTGCTCATCAAGCAGTACTGCCGGGAGAGTGGTGTGCGCAACCTGCAGAAGCAGGTGGAGAAGGTGAGCTGGGCCCGCTGGCCAGGAGGGCAGGGTCCGCAGCCTGTGCAGGGCGGGGGGGCGGGACACTCCTGAAGATTCCACCGCAGGGTTTCCCCACAGGAGGCCCGGCCACAGAGACGAGAGGGTGGGGGCCGGGGAGTCTGTGCTTCACGGCGACACTCACCGTGTGGGGAGATGGAAAGTTCCTGGAGACAGATGTGAACGCAGTTGATGCCATGAGGCTGTAAACTTGTAAATGGTTGAAATGGTCATTTTATGCATTTTACCGCAATGTTAAAAGTTAAAAACGTGTGGGGTGAGGGGCACATGTCCACCGTGCTGCCTTGCCCGCTCCAGGTGTTACGGAAGTCCGCCTACAAGATCGTCAGTGGCGAGGCCGACCTGGTAGAGGTGACGCCCGAGAACCTGCAGGACTTTGTGGGGAAGCCCGTGTTCACCGTGGAGCGCATGTACGACGTGACGCCACCCGGCGTGGTCATGGGGCTGGCCTGGACCGCCATGGGTGAGCAGCAGCTCTGTCCCAGCCCCCCTCCCTGAAGGGGTCCAGGAGACCAGGGGCTCATCGAGGAGGGAAAAGATGGGCCCACAAGGTGGCACTAGTGCCCCACAAGCCTTATTTGCATTGAGGGGAGTTCCTCTGGCCTGGGGGGTGGTGTTGACACCCAGCGGGGTGGGGGGGGCCTCCTCTGGGTGACCTCGCTCCGCCAGGCAGGGAGGCCAGGCAGCGGGCCAGGGTGGTGCTGCGGGGAGAGGTCCACAAAACCGGCCGGCTCGGAACAGTGCAGTACCTGCTCATTTGGATGAGACTGAAAGGAATTGGGGTTCAGCGCCCTCGCTGTGTCCACGTGGACCAGCAGTCCCAGTGGCGGCGCTGCGGCGCGAAGCAGGGGGGCAGCAGGCCAGAGGGAGAGCACAGAGGAAACCCAGGTGTCCCCTAGGCGCCCCACTGCGAGGCTCGGGGAGGGGGTCCCAGCTTCACAGCCTCTACGGCTGGTCTCTCAGGAGGCTCGACACTGTTTGTTGAGACGTCCCCTCGGCGGCCCCGAGACAAGGACAGCAAGGGGGACAAGGATGGAAGCCTGGAGGTGACAGGCCAGCTGGGGGACGTGATGAAGGAAAGTGCTCGCATTGCCTACACCTTCGCCAGGGCCTTCCTGATGCAGCAGGACCCCTCCAATGATTACCTGGTGACCTCCCACATCCACCTGCATGTGCCCGAGGTGAGGCCCCACCTGCCCGCTCTGGCCCCGGCCCCCTGGCAGTGCCCAGCCCGCCCACCCCCACCTGCCTCTCCCCACCAGGGTGCGACCCCCAAGGATGGCCCGAGCGCCGGCTGCACTATTGTCACGGCCCTGCTCTCCCTGGCGATGGACCGGCCAGTGCGGCCGAACCTGGCCATGACAGGCGAGGTGTCCCTCACGGGCAAGATCCTGCCGGTGGGCGGCATCAAGGAGAAGACCATTGCGGTGAGTGTGACCCCGTGACCCCCTCCCCGCCCCGGGGTGAGTCTGGACCAGAGGCTCCCCCCACCCCCCAGGTGGCGCTGTGTCCCCACACAGCTGGTGTAGGCCTCAGGCAGGCAAGGGTACCAGCCGCTTACAGACTAGGATTTGGGCCCATGTTGAGTGGAGCGTCCTCTGCCTCTTGGAGAGTTCCCATCTTGGCTGCTCTCCTGCTTCCTCCTCAACCAAGCACCAAGAATCGGGGGTGCAGAAAAAGCAGGAGAGGGCCTCCTGGGGGTGCAGCGAGACACCTACCTCGGCCAGTTAGTCCTTGGCTTCCCCCGAAGTGTTGGGACTCCGGCCCTGTCGTCCAGCCCTGGATCCCCTGCCTCCTGAAACCCGGCCTTACCTGCAGCCCCCATCCCTCCCTTGATCTGCCTACAGGTCGAGTCCACGGCTTTAGAGACTCTACAGCTCGCTTTCCTCGCTTGCACGGGGGGAGATGCAATTAGGCCGCGCTTGCTGTGTCCCTGGATGGTCCCCCAAAGGGGTAGTGAGGCAACAGCAGGGTGAAGTGGGGCCTGGCAGTGGGAGCCCTGGAGGACTGTAGGCAGAGCAGTCCTCTCTGGGAGGACTCCCCTCTCTCAGGAGTCCGGAGCTCACAGGTGCCCTCAGGCTGTGTGGTAAGGCTGGGCGTGCTTTGGTGCAGTTTGTTAAATTCCCTTGTGCTTTTTAGCTGCCGGACCACTAAACCTAAGGCCCTGGTTACTGTGATTCATTAGAAAATGGGGTCTCTGGGAGACAGGCTCCTGGAATAGAGGCCGGGATCGGGGTTTGGGCTCCAGTTTCCTCAGCTGCAAGATCGGGTGTGCAGGGGAGCCTGGTCGGGCCGAGCTGTCCTCAGCTGACGTGCCCGTGGGCCCTCCCTCGCAGGCTAAGCGTGCTGGAGTGACGTGCGTCGTCCTGCCAGCCGAGAACAAGAAGGACTTCTATGACCTGGCTGCCTTCATCACCGAGGGCCTGGAGGTCCACTTCGTGGAGCACTACCGTGAGATCTTCACTATCGCCTTCCCCGAGGAGCAGCCGGAGGCCCTGGCCGTGGAGCGGTGACGGCAGGCTGGGCTCTGCTGGCACAGACAGGCCCGGTTGGGCCAAGGAGCTCTGGGCAACTGAACCGCCAAGGGGCTCAGCAGAGGCCCAAGTTGAAGGACCTCAGTTACGGCTTAATCACGGAGTCTGACATATATGAGTATTTAATTATGATTAAAACCCCTTTCCAGTACTGCCTGGCTGCTTGTTCTATACACCCTGCCCCTCACCAGTGCGCCCTGGAAGGCTCACCCCCTCCTTCCCCAGACCATCACAAGACCCCCAAGTTCTGAAAAGGCTTTATTACACAGAGGAGAAGGGGTTCAGTCCTTCTTGGCTGCGGCTTTCCTCATGGCGGCCAGGACGTTGCTCAGCTCCTCTCTCTTCCTCTTGGCGCGGATGTGTGTCCCCACCTGCTGGGCAAGGAGGGCGCTCAGTCCGGACCCGAGTCCCAGCCGGGCCCCTGCGCGCGACGGTGCACCTACCCTTTTCTTTTTTCTTTAAAAGATTTTATTTAATTGAAAGAGACAGAGAGAGAGGGAACACAAGCAGGGGGAGCGGGAGAGGGAGAAGCAGGCTTCCCGCTGAGCAGGGAGCCCGATGCGGGGCTCGATCCCAGGACCCTGGGATCATGACCTGAGCCGAAGGCAGACGCTTAACCCACTGAGCCGCCCAGGCGCCCCATCACCTACCCTTTTCTTGATGAACTTGAGGGCGCGCTTGTCCTTGGAGACCTTGAGCAGCTCCATGGCCCGCCGCTCATAGGGGGCGAAGCCGCACACCTCTCGGATCATGTCCCGCACGAACTTGGTGTGCTTGGTGAGGCGCTGGGGGGAGGGCGGGCGTCAGGGCGAGGCGCCCGGGGCCTGGGGTCCGCGGCAACGGGGACGGGCAGCCCCTCACGCCCGCCTTCCCACAGCGGGACGCCCCCGCTCGGGCCTGGCCCCAGCGTCCGCTGGCCGCGCACGCGGTTCCCAGGGGTGTCCACCCGCCGCCGGGGCGAGCCCTACGCTCGAACCTCCGCGGCTGCCGCTGCCCCCCCGCGCTCCGTCGCTCGGCCGCCGGGGCCCTGCTCTCCTCCCGCCAACACGCCCCCCGAGCGCGCGCGCCCGCACTCACCCCGCGGCGGCGGCTGTGCCTCGGCTTGCTCACGTTCTTAGTCACCTTGTGGCCCTTGTTAAGGCCCACGGCCATCGGGTAGCGCAGAGCCATGGCTGCAAACGGGAGCGGAGAGGGGAGCGGAGGTGGGTCCGGGCTCGGCCCCCGCCGCCCGGAACCCCGCGTCCCGACTCCCCCGGACCCCCTCCCAGCGCCCAGCCATAGCCCTAAGACGCAAGGGGGCCCCGGAGTCCGGATGGCGGCAGATCCTACCCTCCCGATGCCACACTTACCGGCCGCTCCTCAACGGCTCCCGCGGCGGAAGGGCTGTCGCCTCGCGGAACTCTGGGCTATCTAGCTTCCGCGGGTCGAGCGGGCCAGAGAGGCAGAAACGCCGCGCGCTCCCCCTGGCGGATGGAGGCCCCGCGGTCTCCACGCGCACGCGCGAACCTTCTCCCTGCGCATGCGCGCTTACAGTAGCGGGTTGGAAACTAGCCTTGGCCGGCGCTGAAATGACTTCCTTTGCCCATGGGTTGAGGGTTGGAATCCTACTTCTGCAGCTTGCTGGCTAATCCCACCTGGGCCCGGGCTTAGGGACCCTGCGCCAGGAACTTCAGCTCCCAGTACTTGAATTTCCTCGTGTATAGAATAACGAGAATAAGGGGCGCCTGGGTGGCTCAGTTGGTTAGGCGTCTGCCTTCTGCTCAGGTCATGATCCCAGGGTCTTGGGATCCAGCCCCGCGTGGGGCTCCTTGCTCCCGAGGAGCCTGCTTCGCCCTCTCCTCCCCGCTCATTCTCTCTCTCTCAAATAAATACATAAGTAAAAATCTTTATTAGAATGAGGACAATAATAGTACCTATTCCCAACTGTTCGAGTAAGGTATAGTGGTACTCGACACAAAATAAAATTTCCATAAACAGATATTGGCTTCATTCTGTATGACACCAAACTGTGTTAGAACTGAAGAAGGCGATTTGGTGTAGTACACCCTGACGGCGTTTGATATAATTTGATGTAATTTTCGGTGGTGCAGGGACTGGAGCCACGGTAGAAACAAAAAAAAATTTTTTTTTCCCGGTTTTTATCTTTGAATCCTACCTATTCCCAAATGACGGTTCCATTTTGGGTTAGTCTCTTTGTGGTTAACCCTTCTAACACTTGCTAATTCTAGAGCTTTGCACAGCCAACAGTAGCTAGCATTTTGCAATATTGCATTTATTCTACAGTTTTTAACTGTGCCAGTTGCTTTTTCTTTATGCAAACCACACTCATTTATCATTTTACGGAGAGGAAGTGTCAATTTTTCACTAAAATTGATGTGCAGATAAATATAGCCAACACTTTGTTTAAAGTCCCTTGTCAGAATCCTACCTCCTGCCACGGACTTCCTCCCTCTCTCTCTCTTTTTTCAGATTTTATTTATTTATTTGAGAAAGAGAGGGAACCCAAGCAGGGGGAGTGGGAGAGGGAGAAGCAGACTCCCCGCGGAGCAGGGAGCCCGATGCGGGACTCGATCCCAGGACCCTGGGATCATGACCTGAGCTGAAGGCAGATGCTTCACCGACTGAGCCACCCAGGTGCCCCTTCCTCCCTCTCTCCAAGCACATTTCCTTATCTATAAAATGTTAAGGGGGCGCCTGGGTGGCTCAGTCGTTAAGCGTCTGCCTTTGGCTCGGGTCATGATCTCGGGGTCCTGGGATCGAGCCCCGCATCAGGCTCCCTGCTCCGCAGGAAGCCTGCTTCTCCCTCTCCCACTCCCCCTGCTTGGGTTCCCTCTCTCACTGTGTCTCCCTCTGTCAAATAAATAAATAAAATCTTAAAAAAAAAAATTAACAATGGTAGCACCAACGTCCTGTTGTGAAGATGCCATGAGATCACTAATGTCACAGGCTTAGTGCCTGATAAACATTTCCGTCATCGGCACACAAACCATGTGCTTTATACTGCAAGTAAGGCCTTTGGCCCAGAGTCAGTACCTCTCTTCGCACCCCTGACTTCCCGGGTGAGATCTACGTCTCTCAGGTGGAGAAGTCTGGTCGCCTGGTCCCCATACACACATCCCTCTTTACCCGCCTGCCACCAGCAAACTGGAAAAACTAAGCAATGTGAACAACTTATGTGCAAGGGAGGAAGGATTTTTATTATGAAACAGAAGGCTGGGTCCAGCCCAGAACACATTCTTTCCCTCCTCCCCGCCTCAGACCCCATGGGCAGGTGAAGTTTGAAGGCTGTCCCCTGCTTGGGGCCAGGGTAGGGGGACGCTCCAAGGTTGCGTCAGTGGAAAGAAGAGATCAGGGAGGCACTGGCTCCAGGTGGGAGATGGACAGGGCCCCCAGGGTGCCCTGTTTGACATGGCCAGGGGCCTGGCTCCAGCTGGGAGATGGACAGGGTCCCCAGGGAGCCCTGTTTGACATGGCCAGGGGCCTGGCTCCAGCTGGGAGACGGACAGGGTCCCCAGGGAGCCCTGTTTGACATGGCCAGGGGCCTGGCTCCAGCTGGGAGACGGACAGGGTCCCCAGGGTGCCCTGTTTGACATGGCCAGGGGCCTGGCTCCAGGTGGGAGACGGACAGGGTCCCCAGGGTGCCCTGTTTGACATGGCCAGGGGCCTGGCTCCAGGTGGGAGACGGACAGGGTCCCCAGGGTGCCCTGTTTGACATGGCCAGGGGCCTGGCTCCAGGTGGGAGATGGACAGGGTCCCCAGGGAGCCCTGTTTGACATGGCCAGGGGCCTGGGCAAGTCACACCACCTGAGCCTCAGCCTTGTCATCTGCAAAATGAAAGCAGCAACCGTGTCACCCCGGCCGTAGTTGTGACCGTTTCCAGGGGCTGGTAGACTTTCTCGGTTGTCCTTTTCTGTCTTGATGACTCTGTCTTGAGCCACGGTCAACAGCTCAGAGGTGTCTCGGTTTGTGTCGCCGCCACTCTGGGGCGGCTGGATGGAGGGTTCCCCTCCGGGAAGATGAAGGAGTGCCACGGCCGGGGGCTCAGGCAGCAGCGGCAGCGGTGACGTTGAGCTCCTGGCGGATGAACCAGGCCCTCGGGTGCGGCAGCCAACCCCGGAGCAGGCAGAGCAGGTGGAAGTGCCACGGGTAGAAGACACCAGGGGCGCGTGTGGCGCCGCCGCGGATCACGGCCAGGGCTGCCTTGGGCCCTGGGGCCGCCTTGGCCCTCGTGACGCCCCTGGGGACAGGAGGGCTCGGTGGAGACGGCAGCTGGGCGGCCCCCCACAGCCCCCTGCCCCTGTTGGCCCCGGGCCTCACCTGACTCCCTCGGCGGTCGAGGCGCGATCCCGGAGGCCCAGGACACACATGGTGATGGCCACGTTCACGTCCTGCACGTCCAGCTCCCGCCGTAGAGAGCCGAAGAAGCCGTCCAGCGCGAACTTGGCCGCGGAGTATGGGCTGGAGAAGGATGTGGGCACATGGCCTAGGAGCGCGGGAAGACAGCACCTGAGTGACCACGCGGCGCTCCCCCTCCTCCAGGGAGCCTTCCTGCCCTCCCCAGGCTCGCCCGCCTCAAGCCCTGTGACCTCCCGACTCCCCGCCCCGCGGGCACGCACCCAGCAGCGAGGACACGACCACCAGGGAGCCTTTGCTGTCCGTCAGGCTGGGCAGCGCCAACGAAGTCAGCTGCACGTAACTCAGGAAGTTCACCTGGAGGTGGCGACTGCGAGTCACCGCATCGCGGAGACACTCGGGCCCGGGAGGGGCGGGGCCTTGAGGCGGTGGGCGGGGGCTGGTAGGGGCTGGACCTGAGGTGGGAATTGGGGCGGGGGGGAGGGTGGAGCCTGGGGGATTGGAAGGCTAGGGCGCGGGGCGCGGTGGGGCGGGGCACCTGTAGGAGCCAGCGTGTCGCCTGGACGCTCCGGGACCGCGTGCCTGACGGGGTGGCGCCGAGGTGGTTCAGCACGAGGTAGTCCAGCCCTCCTGGCCCGGAGAGGCCCATCAGCAAGGAGCTAGTTCTTGAGGCTCCGCCCCTGGGCCCGAAGAGATTTCGCCCCCCCCCCCCCGCCCCTGGCCCCGTCACCTTGAACTAGAGAAGCTCCGGCCAGAGCACTGACCCAGTGAGTTCCGCCCCGGTGGCTCCCCGCCTAATATCAAAGAGACCGGGCCCTACTCCCTGGATCCTGCCAGGATTCGTCCCTGATCCAATAAGGCCCAGCCCAGAGTTCCGCCCCCTGGAGGCAATGAGCCTCCACCCCCCCAGCCACGCCCCGGACCCCATAAACCTCCGCCCACCGACTGCCACGGCCCCACCCCTTTCGGGTCCTGCCCGGTGAGGCCGAGGCCCCAGTACCAGAGTCCAGGCCCCGCCCCTCACCCAGCTTGTCCAGCGCAAACCGCACCAAGCGCTCGGGCACCTCAGGGGAGGCCATGTCCGCAGCGATGAAGAAGACCTTGGGAGCGCCCAGCTTCCGGCAGTTCCCTACCACCTGGGGGGGCCAGAGCTGCCCGTGGGCCCGTCCACCCCGGCTGGGCCCCCTCCACCTGCTAGACCATTGGGGCCCCAGCCTCAAGCCCCCTCCCCGACTCGGAGCTTCAGGTGACATTCAACATTATTCCCAAAGCTCTGCCACTGGGGTCACAAACCGGCAGCCTGCAGGCCCAAATGGGGCACGTTTTATTTGCTCAATACCAACATTTAAAACTCAGGGGATTTCATATAAATCTCGATATTTCTGGCCTCTCTAGAAGTTTTGCAAAGTCCGTCCCCAAGAACCGTACATCTCCTTAGAGCCACAATGGGCTGCTGCTGAGCAGTGTCCACCACCCCTTGTCTGAGGTTGAGAACCCTGGCTGCCGGCACAGGCTTTGGACACCACCAACAACCCCAGTTTTGAGGAACACTCCCTGTCTTACACTCACTGCCTTAATGGATCAACCCAACACCATAACCCAGGAGAAGGTACTTTAACTGTCTCTGGTTTGCAAAAGAGAAAACTAAGGCTCAGACGTTAAGCTACTTGCCTAAGGTCACCCCGGAAGCCTGGATCTTTGCAAGGAAGGATTTACACCCAGGCCCCGTTTTCCAGCCACTCCCGCCCCACGAAATGGGCTGCCTCACCTTTTGCAGGAGGGCCTCGGTGTGGGCCGTGAGCACCAGGTGGGCGCCCAGGCGCGCGTAGAGATAAGCCAGCTCCTCCCCAATGCCTGCGCTGGCCCCGGTCAGCAGCACTCGGGCTCCCTGCAGGCCAGCTAGCAGGGTGCAGGGGTGATCAATCCTGGGGTGGGGGGCGGCACCGGACAGCTGGCCCGATTCCTCCCTCCCCCACCTCCAGGCACTCACCAGGGTCAAAGTTGTCATCCCAATAGTAGGAGAAGAACAGGGCCCCCAGCCCGGTGAGGAGCAGAACCTTCATGGCCAGCCCTGGGTCTGCAGGTTCTGCAGTGGGAGAGAGGACAGGCACAGGGCTGGCCCACAGCCACCCCCATTTCCCCAGCTGCGCCTTTGTTTGATGAAGATGCTCCAGGCCCTGCCCTCTCTCCTCCATCTCGGCAGGTGCTGCCTGGTTCAGGTCACTACATAGCTTCCCCTGGCCATTTCAACAGCTTTCTCCCTCCTCGAAGCAGCTAAATGACATCTTGCCTCCCCCTGCTGAACATCTTCCCTATTTCATTTAGGACAAAAGCCAGCCTCCTTGATGGTCAAAAAGGCCCTGCAGGGACCAGCCCCTCTGGCTCACTCGGCTGTGTGCCACACCCATCTCTTCACTGTTCCCCAGAATCGGCCAGTCTCCAACCTGCCGCAGGGCCTTTGCATTGGCTATTGCCTCTGCCCGGAATGCTCTTCCCAAATAGAACCCAAGGAGTTGCTCTCTCACTTCTTTGAAGTCAGCACAAAACTGACCTCCAAGGGACATTCCCTGGCCTCCTTTTCTAGAGCGCCTCCTGGTCCCTCTCCTTCCCTTGCCTCCCTCTACAACTGCCAGCCTCTCAGCACTTGCCAGGACCTGAAATTGTCCTGATGATTTGTTACATGTTCACTGGCCCTCTCTCCTCCTAGACTATCAGCTCCATGAGGCAGGAAGGAAATGGAAACCTGCTGCTGCTTTGTTCACTGTTGGGACCTCAGGGCCCCAAACGGTGCCAGACATGCAGTAGGACGCTCAACAGATACCAGACTGACCCTGAGTGATACGAAGAACATTGGAGAGAAGAGCTGGGGGCGGGGGGCAGAAAGACAGCTCTGTCTGGAGACACCCAGAAGGAATCTTAGGGCTCGGTAGGGGACACAGGGGCCTGTGTCATTAGAGTTAAGATGTGACTTCAGCTGTGGGAGTGGATTTACTTGTTCCAGGGAGAGGGTGAAAGAGAGAAACAGGCCAAATGCTTAACGTTTGGGGGGGGAGCGGGTCATGAATCTTCCCTGAGAAAGGCGCAGGACCATCACATCTTGGGCTTTCTGTCCTCTGAACTCAGTAGGACAAAGAGGAGAGGGGGGCTTCCAGAGCTGAGAGATGGTGGGGTTGGGGTGCCTTCAGATCTCTAGATCCAGGCCTCAGTTCTTCGCCCCCCACTGCAAAGTTCCAGCTGCCTCCCCCATCCTCCTACTCCCTCCCTCACCCTATGCTTTTCCGGCAGCCAAAGGGATCTTCCAAAGAAATCTGACGTTCCCCTTCCTGCTCCAAACCCTCCTAGGGTTCGCCGCTGCCCCCCATGGAGACCAAGCTCCTCACCTCAGCCCACAATGCCCCGCGCGGGTCTGGCCCACCTGTCCATCCTCATCTTCCACCATTACTGTCTATGAATCTTTCTCAGCTCTCAGAAAGGGGCACTCGCCCTTCCCCAATCACGGCAGCCATCCCACCTCTCCCCACGTTCCGGGGGAAGCCCGCGGAGCCCCGCAACTTGACTCTCTTCCCACCTTGACCCCAGCAGCTATGCAGGGGGAGGTGGGGACGGGCGGATGAACGGCTAGCTGGCTGGCCGTCTGGGTGGATGGATGGATGGATAGATGGACGGATGGATGGGTGGATGGATGGATGAAGCAGCCGCCTGCGATGGGGGAGGAATTGGGAGAACCAGACCCTCGTAGAACGTACTGGTCCCCTGACCTCGCCAGGCCTCAGTTTCCCCTCTGGACAAAAAAGGCGTGCGACGTGCTGCGCGCTCCCAACCTCGCACTCACCCACTCGGGCCTCAGTTTCTCCCACCGTCCAGCGGGGCTGGGGTCCGGGCCTGGGAATCCGGCGCGCGCCCCTCGGACCTCCCTAAGCGGCAGCGTCCAGCCGGACCCCCGACCGCGCCCCCTCCCTTAGGGGCCGGGTCACGTGACACCGAGCCCACCCCCCCGGGGGCGTGGCCTAGCCACGGGAACGCCGTGCCCGGGCGTTGCCCGGCAACGGCATTCCGCCGGGCTCGCCCCCTCCGGGCCCTGGTCCTGGTCCCGGTCCCGCCCCCTGGACGAAAGCCCCACCCTGGACCAGATCACGTGACGCAGGGCCCCGCCTCTTTCGCACATTTCCGCCGTCGCATTGCCATGACAACCATGCTATTGGCCCACTCTTCGTGGTCCTGGGCCCTCAGTTCCCTGCGTCGGCGCGGGTGGATCTCCCGGGCCCCGACATCTTCTTGGGTCACTTTCAGGCCTCACTCTAGACGCCTGACTCCTCTTTTCCCCCCCACGCTACCCGGGGCCGTGCCAGGCCGGTCTACATTTCCCAGGAGTCTTGGCGGCTAGGCGAGGCGTCCGGCGCCTCACGGGGCGTCCATTTCCCAGGCAGCTTTGCGGCGGACGGGCTCGGAAGATTACACTTCTCAGAATCCTTTCGCGCGGTAGGGCTGCGGTCCCTCTCCCGGCGTCTCTGAGCCGTCGCGCGACTTCGACTCCCGCAGGCCTTTGCGACTAACCAGGGCGACTACGCTTCCCAGAGGCCTCTGCGGCGCTGTCACCGGAAGCGGCGGGCGAGTGGAGTGTCCTTGCGCGCGGAGCCGAGCGACCATGGTGCCCCGAGTGTGGTCGCTGATGAGGTGCGTCGGGCTGCCGGGTGTGCCCCGAGCCCCCGAGAAAGTCCCCTCCTGTGGGCACTACCTCTCGTTTGCTTCCAGCTGGATCTCCGAATTCCGTGTCCCCATCGCCCCGATGGGGAAACTGAGGTTCAGGCGGGGAGGGCCTTCCCGAGATGTTCTGTCGCCTCCTTCCCGCTTCCCAGCAAGCCCTTGCCTCCTGATTGTGTCGGAGTCCCCGTGGCCTCCTCTGTAAGGTGGGAATGCCGCAGGCGCTGTACCAGGAAGTTCATGCGTGCCCAGAGCGACGTATGACACACGGGAAGCGACCAGGGCCACTTGGAAACCCCTCGAGGGTGGCGCGCAGGTCGTGCCTCCCGGGGCTGGAAGGCAGAAAGTCAAGGGTCTTAAGTGTTCACGGTTCCCTGCTCTGTGTGCGGGATCACGAGTGACCCGTCTTCCTCTCCGGGCCTCAGTTTACCAGTTCAGTGGGGCCGAGTCGCTGTGCTTTGCGCAGTGTAGATTGAGTGTTGTGCACGGTAGGCGCCAGGCACGCCTCTGGGCCCCCGGGGTGCCTTGTTCTTCTGTACTGGCTGCCTGGCTTCAGGTGTGTCACTCCTAGGACTGTGGCACCCGGGAGTCGGACTCCTCTCCCCGCGTGCGCCTAGAGCGAGGAGTGCCCGAGGAGCTGCTGAGCGGCTGTCCTTCCCTGACTGCAGGTTCCTCATCAAGGGCAGTGTGGCCGGGGGTGCAGTCTACCTGGTGTATGACCAGGAGTTGCTGGGGCCAAGCGACAAGAGCCAGGCTGTCCTTCAGAAGGCTGAGGAGGTAGTCCCCCCAGCCATGTACCAGTTCGGCCAGTACGTGTGTGAGCAGACCGGTCTGAAGATGCCCCAGGTACCCTGGGGCTGGGAGTGAGGCTAAGGCTTGGTGGGAGGAGGGTGTCAGTTCTGGGGTGGCTCTTGGTCCCTGGTCCCTCCAGCCCTGCCTGGTGTCCTTGGCCCTGGGCTTTGTGCTGCACTTCCCTGCCTCGGAAAGGGGCTGGGGCTGCTGGCCGGGCCCTTCCCTTTTCACCTGCCCCTTCTCCCCTCTCTTCCCAGCTCCCAGCCCCTCCAAAGTTTAACTTTCACATCCGTGACACCTGGAATTCAGGTAGGCCCTGGTCCCTGTGCTTGGGGGGTGGCCCCTGATACCCCCCAGCCTAGCACCCCCTACCACCGCTTCCTGGTCATTCCTTTCCGTTGCTCCCCTTGCTGCTCCGTGCAGCTCCCACGGACCTAAAAGAGGAGAAGGGGTGGAGATTTCAGGGAGGTGTGAGCAAGGTGGAGCCTCCTGTGAGGATGGGTCACATTGGAGCTCATCGTGTGATCTCAGACAAGAGTAAGCCCTGCCCCGTCTCTGCCTCAGTTTCCCCATGTGGGAACCGATGGACCTGGAACGGTGCCTCTAAAAGCCTCGCAGAGCTAGGGTTTCCGGGGGGCTGATGTTGGACTAAAGCGGGGGGCTGAAGGCGCTGGGCCCTCCCTCTCCACAGGCATCATTATGGTGATGTCGGCCCTGTCGGTGGCCCCTTCCAAGGCCCACGAGTACTCCAGGGACGGCTGGGCGTACCTGAAGGAGCGAACCAAGTAGCCTGTCAGAAGAGGCCACCTGCCCCGGTCAGGAACAGGGGCAGGGGCACCATAGACCTGGAGACTCCAGACTGGGACTGGGACCCCACACCAAGGGCAGCTCCTGGCCTTGCCGGCCCAATAAAAGACTTTGGAAGTGCTCCCCGACCCGTGTGCTGGCCCTGGGGACTTGGGGTGGCCTGGCTGGTGCCCAGAGTGCAGGGGCCCGGGCTTCTGGCACCGAGCCGCTCTACAGGGCCTGACCTTGCCCCCAGGCCTGGGCTCACCCCTTTGCTGTCCGGGGCCCTGCCTGCTGGGCCCCCAACCTGGTTATGGGGATGGGGAGTAGACGCTTGGCCCTGGTGCTCCACTGACCATGCTCAGGGCCTGGGAATGGGTTGAGGAAGTACTGAGGGCCAGCCCAGGTTAGGGATCTCTGCTCGTGGAGGGGTGAGCCAGGGTGGGGCATTCTGGAGGTTGGGACTCGGTAGAGTGGGCACAATTCATCAGTTCATCTCTCCACATGGCCAGGAGTTCCTGTGGCCACGGAGCCTACGTCTGGCTCAGCTCACTGATCACCTGTGTCTCGTCTGGTCCTGGCCCTCCCTTGCCTGCTCCCTACCCACATTCTACCCTCTCCCCACAATCTGGGGATTCCTGGGACCACAGGCTTCTTGTCATTACAGTGGGGGGGGGGCTTCCGTACCCAGAGAGGTTCTGCCCTCCCTGCATCCCCTGCTCCCCTGGGAAGGCTTTCCCGCCCCACACTGGGTCAGCTGCCTGGTGACCTGAATGTTCCCCCCCAACCCCACTGGGAGAGTGGGCCCTGGGAATACTCCCAGCCCGGAGGGCATCCCACCATGACGGCAGTGGGAGGACATCTGTGTCACAGACAATGGCGGGTAGAAGGTGGGCTTGGCTGGGAGCCCGAGACTTGCCCAGGTTGCCGCTCCAGGAGCACGGAGCAGGCCTGGCCAATGGTGCCCTGAGCTGACACGGGACCCCCCTGTTTCTAAGAGTTCTAGGGGTTATGTTGCTTGGTCTGGGGGACAGAGCTCACCGAGGCGCAGGAACTAGGAGAGGACTGTGGTTACCGGTGAGGAAAGCAGAGACTGGAAGCCAAGACGTTGCCCAGGCTCTCCAGGGATGAGAAGATCGTGTGTCCACGGGAGCTGTGGGGAGGAGTGTGTGTGGGGGTGATGGGTGGCCTGGCCTGGGGTGTTTGGGGAGGCAGAGCCCCGAGTGTGCCACTCTGCTCTCCAGGAAGAGTCTCTGGCTGGGTCTCCCATGTCCAGCGTGGCGCCTGCCCGCTCGTGCTGGGCCACAGGAAGGAGACGAGCAGGTCCAGGGCAAGGGCAGCGTGGGACCATCCCTGATCCCGGGGGCTGCCTGGGGGGGAAGCCAGCCCAGGTTTAGGGCTGAGCCCTGTGACCCACCCCAGCCTGGCACCTTCCACCAAGCCCTTCCCGCAGCCCAGGGAAGGGGGCCGACCGTGGGCTCCGTTTACAGGTGGAGAAGGTTGTGCGCAGCCTGGAGCCCGGGGAGTTAGCTTCAACCCTCCCCGGGGCGCTGGATTTCCAGGTGCCTCACCCCAATGGACCCAGTCCTGGGCCCTCGGAGACAGGAGGGTTTGCGCTCAGGGCACACAGGGCTGTGGCTGTGGCATGTGCTCCACAAGGTCCCTGAGGCCTCGGGACCCCGTCATCATCACTACCACCATTTTACAAAGACAGGCCGACATGGGGGAGGGGGAGACCTGCCAGGGCCGCCCTGCCACGCTCTGCACTCCAGGCAATGCCCACAGGAAGGGAATCCAGCCCTTGTAGGTCAGGAGGGAGCCACGCCAGGAACAAGCTCACACCCACGTGGGCGGCCGAGCCTGCAGCCCCAGCCACACTGCTCACAAGAGCGACTGCAGCCCCCGCAGGACCCCCATGCCAGGGGTGGAGGGGGCCGCGAGGTGGGGCTCCGGAGAAGCAG